TAATATACAGTCCCGCGACCCGCGCTACCTTTGCCTACCGTCTCCTTATTATGTGTATATCAAAGGTGCCCAACCCTGGCCCGCGGACCACAAAGTGGCCCACTAACGCATTTGAATTTGCCCGCCAACAGACTATTGCATTTTTATTTATTTATTTATTATAAATTATACAGGGTGTTCAGTAAATCAGGAAACGGGTTNATTATACAGGGTGTTCAGTAAGTCAGGAAACGGGTTTCTATTGTTCTCATTGTTACAAACAATGAGAACAATAGAAACCCGTTTCCTGACTTAATGAACACCCTGTATAGGCAATAGCCCAAAAAATACAATATGTACTAGACAGTTAACTGGATAACTTAAAATTATCTAATAACTAAAAATGAAACATTAATAAACTTAAGCTTGACAAAGAGAAAAAGAAAAATTTAAACATAATCAAAAATTTAAATATTAAATAGGAAAGCTAAATGACTCCATTAAAAATGAAAATAATGTAAAAAATGAGGGTCATTATTTGCAGTGCGCATTAAACGTGGGAGAGCGGAATGAAAAATATAATTAGAAGATGAATGAGAAATGAGGAAAGAGGCAGTATAGCGAGTCGAAAGAGAAGGTACCCGAAAGTTCAATTTAAAAAGTAGGACAGGAAAATCAATCAATCCAGCTGAGAGTTTAGAAACGAAACGGATATTAGAGTCATGTCTTCTAGCAGATAAGGAAGGAAGTTGTAAGAAATTTTGAATAGGAGTTAAGTCATGAGGTGGATGGGGGTTATTAAGGATATGAACCGTAAAGCGTAAAAATTTACGCTGCACTCTTTCAAGTATTATAGATTTGATAGCTGTGTAAGGATCCCATAAAACCGAACCATACTCAAGGATAGGGCGAACCAGTGAACAAAAAAGATTTTTTAATGTTCTTGAGAGGTGAAATTCATGAGAAATTCTCTGAATGAAACTTAAAGTTTTCAAAGCCTTACAACATACTTCTTCAATATGAAGTCGAAAATTTAAAGTAGGAGTGAGACGAAACCCAAGGTCAACTATAGAAGGAACAGAAGAAATAGGATGGTTATGAATATAATAAGGTGAAGATATAGGATTAGAAATACGTGAAAAAGTCATTTTATAACATTTAGAGGTATTAAAAGTCAAGCCCATTAATTGAGCTCAACTAACTAAGCGGTTTAGATTAGTATGAAGTAAAATAACATTGGAACTATTAGTAACACATATAAATAATTTGAAGTCATCTGCAAAAAGGAGTATTTTAGCATGCTGTAAAACACAATTTGCGCCATTTACAAAAATGAAAAAAAGAAGGGGAGATAGGATTGAACCTTGTGGAACACCGAAGGAGAGGGTTATCACTTCAGAAGCACAACCTTGAACATTTACCCACTGGTTTCTTTCAGTTAAATATGAAATTAACCAAGAGAGGAGTGGTTCACCAATACCAGCGTGGAATAGAAGTTCAGACAGAATATTAAGATTAAGTTTATCGAAGGCTTTTGAAAAATCAGTATAAATGACATCTACTTGAGCATGGACAAGGAAAGAATCGGTAATGAAAGATTGAAATACAAGATTGCATGTTAAAGTAGATCGGCCATGACGGAAACCATGTTGTTCAGCAATAAGAAGTGATGTATACTGCAAAAATCGAATACATTTAGTTTATATATACACAAATAGAGCTTAAGGGACATTGACCTCAAAAATAAATTTAAGATATACAGGGTGATTTTTTTATCATAACCCACTCAATTACTTGCAGAATAATAATAATTAAAAAATTTTTTTTTTTATTATCTTTAGTTACACATTATTCTTGAATTTTTAACTATGTAATACTTTTTAAGTTCATCCCTTATGCCTTGGAGGGGGGTCAACTTTGTTTTTTTAAATGGTAACACATATTTTTAATTTAATAAAATGTTTGAGTTTTTAATTTAATAGTAAATGGCATTTGAATTTTTAATATAACTTTATTAGCTTATTAGATATAAATATTTAAAGTTTCAAAATTTTGAGTTAATATACATGTATAATACCCATGGGATTGTAAATATAGGTAGCTAATTGGATTTTTATGGCATTGCTGTCTCAGTCACGGATTGTTTATTATCAATAGATATACTTTCTATATTGTCAGTTAGTGTATTTATAAACTCATAACAATGTGCCTTATTACAATTGATAATAACAATGCTGTGTACTTGCTAATATCGATGTTATAAAAAACCAATTAGCTACCTATATTTTGTGTATTATATCTGTATATTAATTAATATCTGTCCTATCAATTTAAGTATCTATGTATAGAACTGAATATATAATATAGATGAATTATAAGTGTAAGCAAGTCTTGTTCATAACATGGCCCGCCAGCTAAATGTAATTAAAATTATAGCTCACTTCCAAAAGAAATTGGGCACCCTTGGTGTATATGATAGTTTGACTGACCAACGAGGCGTACCATACGCTACGGTACAAAGAGTAGCTGATGGCGTCCCGCCACATGTATACGTTCAAGTGGTATTCGTGACACTGCCCTGTACGATTCAGTCCGTCTGAATACCACTCGACGTGCCTATTTATCGTCCGCAACAGTACTGCGTCAACGCATCCTTTTATTAACTCTGTAATTTCATTATAATTGTCATTAATTGCTCATATACTCTCACCCAATTTTACCACTTTTATAAAAAAAATTGTATGATTTTTTAATACCAAAGGCGTTTGCACCACAAAGACAAGTTCAGTGGTCTGTTTCACTAAATATGATATGTGATCTTTTGACGTATCGTTGAACACAATCTATTTAGTAGAAGCTGAAAACTTGTGATGACAAAAAAAAAAAATCCAGCAAAATGCCATCGCGGCATTGTCAGGATGTGGCATAGTTGGGACAAATATAGATGATATGTCACAATGAATTAAATCGTTATCACAAAACAATTCTATATAAATGTATGCAGCTCTTTAGATAGTGTTCAATTTTTAAAAGGATTCGCATAATTATTTCAAAAACAACATATTTCGGTAATTATACTCGATTAATCTGACCTTCGTGAGTTAATTATTACTTTAGTTGTGAAATTGAAATTGTAGTTTATCATAAGCCATTGAACATTAGCTAGAACATTTTTATTGGAAAGAGTAGTCCATTTTGTTAAATATATTTAACGGTTTGACATTAAAAGCAGGAAAAATATTTTTAACTAACATATATAGCTATTTTATTAGTATTTTTTTTTGTAAAAGAGGTTGTTAAATAGAGATACTCTTATTTGACAATACTGTTTGACCTATAATATAGGTATAAATAAAAAACAAAAAAATTGATGTAAAAAACAACACATAAAACGGTAATTTTATTGCACAAAAATAACATTTTTAGTTTAACTTCAGGGGTAGTTTACATAAAGAAGACATTTTATCAGGACAAATTTTTATTAACTTATAGCAGGTGGTAGCGCAGCTATAATTTAACGTGTATTTAGAAAACGCAGTATTTACGGAATATTGTCAAAAGTCAAGTCATAAAATTAAATATTTATGCATTGTGATATTTTGAATTCTAACGCATAGGCAGGTAAAAGGTCAGATTTTCAAAAAATTAAAAAAAAAATGAAGTAAAAATAAAGCTTTGCATCAAAGCTAAACACATAGTAATATTAGTAAATTTCGAATCGAAGCTAAAAAATAAATGAAAAATAATAGTATTATTAGAATAAATTTTGTTATGAGTAAAATGCCATATTTCTAGATTACTTTTTTAATATTCATATATTGTCAAAAAAGAGAGGGGAAACTGGGAAAACAGAGTGCATATAACTTTTAATATCTACTGTAATTATAACGATTAATACAACTGTAGATTGTATTTTTTTAAATATCTTTTAATTTAAATAATATAAAGAACATTTGGGACAGTTACACTGGGCCTGCGAGAAAAATACAATACTGTTAGTAATGTTAGCTAAATTTATCATGCTTATTATTTATTTTAATTTAAAGCATATATATTACTCATCTTTATCTCACAAATAAACTAATTTTTATCACCCATAAATTATGAACAGTNAAATAAACTAATTTTTATTACCCATAAATTATGAACAATTTATCATTAGTATTTTTAGTTATAGAAAAATTTAAAAACAATTTATTTGATTTTATAAATATGTTAAAAGTTATTATTACTTCAATTATTGTATAGTTTTTGCATAATATAAAATATAGTTTAAAAAAACTAAAAAACACGCTTTTAAAGAACATCGAACTAAAAAGTTAAAAATAATTTTTAAAATAAGCGTAAAACAATAATGAACGAAAAGTACTAGTATTATTGTGATAAAAGCGTCGGGCGCTCAATATACGAAAAATATAGCACAAAGCACCCACGCTTTTATCACAATAATACTAGTACTTTTCGTTCATTATTGTTTTACGCTTATTTTAAAAATTATTTTTAACTTTTTAGTTCGATGTTCTTTAAAAGCGTGTTTTTTAGTTTTTTTAAACTATATTTATTTTTCACTTTTTAGTTACATGTTATGATAGTAGTTACTATCAATATCATGGTTGTAACGGGTAAAGGGGAATCAGGGTTCGATTCCGGAGAGGGAGTCTGAGAAACGGCTACCACATCCAAGGAAAGCAGCAGGCGCGCAACGTGGAGGTAGTGACGTAAAATGACGATACGGGAATCATCCTTTGTAATCGGAATAAATACCCTATATATCTCTTAATGAGAATAAAGCGTATTAATATATAAGTTTTAATAGTAAATAGAATATATATATATATATATATGTAAAGCGACTTAAGTACGTAAACGTATCATGCACGAGGTATAGCTGTGTTTTGTTGGCGGGCGGGGCGCG